ACTAGATAATTCTTATGCAATTATGATACTGGCCAACAGGGTCAATCCTTCAAGGATAACCAAATCTAGGTCGATATTTAAATTCACTATCGATATTTTTAATTATATAATCCTTCAGGGAAACTCAAATCTATAGACATAAAATTCAATAGGATATTTGCTCTACAATTCATGACAAAATGATAAAATAACTACATGCATACCATCCATTAGGTTCATTAGTCAGTTAGACTAAAGTTCAAGATACTCAAATTGATTTAGGCTCAGTACGTCCATACTTAATGCATAAAACAACATAACAAAATATGCAACTATAATTTTCAAACTAAATTCATGTCGTAATAGCTTATTTTGATAGTTTCACCATATATGTTCCAAACAACATACACAATTCACATTTTTAAAATTATTTCACATGTGTTTCATGCGTATTCAGATCCATGGACGAATAATAAAATATGTGGGTATTTTTATTTTATAACTCTTCAGGAGTATAAACCGTTCTTGGGGCTTTCCTCTCCTTTCAATCGAGACTCACTTCGCTCTCCTCGAATTTTAGTCGAGATCTTTGAACCTCGGATTTCAGTCGAGCATCTTCAAACCTTTCGCGTCGAGTCAATTGCATCGAACCGCCTCTCCTCGCTCAGACCATGGGCAGCTGTATCGTACTTCCTTCCAATGGACTGATAAGAAAGAAAATATCTTAGGTTTTGGATGGTAGCTTCACTTGCTTAACTTACAACTCTGAGGTAGAATAATAAGCGGGTCTTTCGGCATTATGACCAGCAATTAAGGGCGTCCCAATCAGCCAGCAGCGAAGCTTACACTTGTTCACTAATTCCAATTGAAGTATGAGATTTCGTTACAATTTTCCTCCATCATTGAAAATAATCATTATCTAGAGGATAATGTCTACTAGACATATCTTACGTGTCTTACCACTTTCAAATCCTAACAAGTAATGTAAAGAATGATATGATACATATCAAACAAGAGATGCTCATATATAAATAAGGACAATTGAATCAAGGAAATATACAGTCTTATAGAAGATAGATAATTTCTATCATATATCTCATGTGAAAAACTTATACTTTTGTACATGTGCTTCTGGCACTAATACAATCACAATGAACTACTTTTATATCACTATTCTTAATATATTGTGCCCATGAATATTGATTTGGTTGGATTTCATTATTCTTATGTATTACTTCAGGAATACAAATAATTCATAACATATCATAAAATATTTGATCGCATCTTAATTCAAAATTAGTCATCTAGACTTACTCAGAGTGTAATTATTCTTTTATTTCGATACTTGTATCGGTGTTGATCATTCAGGGAGTATATCAAACTTTATTGCTAACTTATAAAAGATCCTTCAGGGAGCGTATAAGAACTTTATTGTCAACTTACAATCTATTGATAAATAAAATATTGATTGACATCTTATTGATAAACGAGCATTATTTTAATCGTTCTATCCATCAATGTTTAATATTAGTGTCCTTCTGGGACTTATAGTATTCAGTTGAATCTTATACATTTGGATAGATATATATTCTTTAAATAATACTTCACCATTTTCATAATTGCACAATTCTATCTTCTCATCCAACCATATTATAAATTGAGCTAGCATCAATAATATATATCCAATATTTTCACCATTTTCTCTCTCATATACTATAGACATACTTATAATATCATATGAATTTTTATAGCACTAAAAACATTAAACAGAAAAACTTTTCAAATTTTCAAATCATGTAGTGAAACTATAATCTTGCAGATTATATAATACATCCTTTAGTCCATAAAAGATGTGCAGTAAAAAGAACGAGAAAAGAGAAGTAGAAAAGTCACATAAAATATTATGGATTTAACTAATCTTGCTCTGTTAGACTAAAAGAAAAGGGAGCAACTTTGATCACATTTAATCTGCATAATGTAAAGTACTGGTGCATATAATACGACATTGCCATATAATTATTCGAATGGCAGAGGTAAGAAAATTGATCACATGAGCATTATTTATCCCACATGTTTCAACTCATCAGAATTTGATACTCACAAAAATACAAATATTGTGCCATATAATTAATCGCATGGCATACATGTAAGTAAATTTATCAAACCATCATTATATATCTCACACAAATTCAAGCCATCACAATTAGACCTCCAGCAATCAATATACAAATTCAATTTGTGGGCCACAAGTGAAACATGCTTTTTGAATTGATCTTCAAACATAATAGCAACTTGACAAATTAATGAACTCAAGCCTCAAGGATATATGGTTTGGAAATACCTACTGAGAACTCGTCCAAACTCAAAGTTTTCAATTCAACAGTAATTTGATGCACATGTTATCAAATATTAACAAACAGTCATCGAAGACGCGCAGAAAATTCAACATTAATTGGGAATCGGAAAGTCCGCAACCTCAACTTGCCTTCAATTTGCAACAGTAAGTAGCAAGGGGGTAAACTACACAAATTTCAGGTTACCAAATTCATGACGATTTTGAACAATATTAAAATTTATAATTCAAGAAACGGACAATAAATCAACAATTGATACAGAATACAAATAATCATGTATTCATGTAAGGGTTGAAAGTACCTTCAGGAAAAGACACGATTCTTTTCTAGGGCTACATCAATTCTTGATTATTACCTTGATTGCCCGTTTGTCTTGAGCCGCCGCCCTTCACTTAGATGGTAGAGTACTCGTGCTGATAACGTGTTGTAATATAGATTGTCAATATGTGAGATAGACAAGATAGACAAAGAGATACACCGTCGAAACCCTCATCTTATTCATTCACTTGAGCCCTATATATAAGGTAATACAATGTACATGACTAAAGACTTAATGGACTCCTGGCCCATACCTATAAATCTTATATCTAAGTAATGTCCATAAATTTATATATACAAAAATCACCCGACGTTGCAACAATGCGCGGTCAATTTTTAAAGTCGGCATAGAAATTAGAATGAAGGTAAAGAAGGAAACAACAATAAATGAAAAAAATTACTATATTCAGAATAACTGTGAAGAAACTACACTCGAGCTAGGGTTTGCATCTCATCTCTCCTCTCCTCTCCTCTCCTCTCCTCTCCTCGCCTTCTTTGGAGTTCTCGGAGCCATATCGAATCGTTACAGCGTCCGTTCAGCGAGATTCATCTACTGTCGACGACCCCTTTTCAATCCAGGGTTTGCAGGTCTGATTTATTGAGGCGATTTTGGAGAACTGTATGCACCTTGTTTTCTATCAGATTTTTGTTGCGCATGCTATGTATCTCCATGGGATTTTAGTTCATTAAGCTTCACTTTGTTGCTTATTTCCCACTTACAAGCAATGTGTGGATCGTCACAGTTTTGGAAATGAACAGGATGATGCGTTATTGCATGCTGGAATACACTCGATTGTAGTTGTGTGTGTGCGCGCGCGTTGGGATTGTGTGTTGTTAGAATTTGATTTCGTATTGAAATTCATCATTTCTGTTGGGATTCTAAGCCCTGAGAAACCCCTGCTATAAGACCAATACCTCGCAGTCGAGTAAGGTGAAGGTGCTGTTAATCTGTTCATATCCCCCATTCTGAATGCAATATATAAATATAAATATTAATAATAAGTTGTTAGAAGTGGGTTCTCGCTATACGTGATAGGGATTGAACTTTCGACTGACAGATTTGGCTAGTTTCTGTTCCGTGAACTCTTAATTGCAGTTGTCCGTCTGAACTAAGTTGAGTAACCCTTTTTCTTATGTTTTTGTTTCAGATGATAGTTCCTTGAGTGGCACTGTTGAACATTGTGCGTGTTTTTGTTTATCTTGAGATGCTGTGTGCATAAACTTGCTAGATTGCCAATTTAGTTTGGTTTGAGATGGATGGGCAAGGGAATCGTGCAAATCAAGCTGCGCAGGATCTTCATGCTCTTGGGCCCACATTTCAGCAACATTCTTCCGCCAGCTCGGCTCTTCCTCCTCCCCCTCCTCATTCTCACCACGTCCCATTTTCTCGACCACTAAGTATTTCTCAACATGGAAATCCATCATTTCATCCTACTCCAGGTGCTTCTCCATATCAGCATGGCCTGCCAGGTTTTCCTCATCAAGGCCTGCCAGGCCCCGTTGCATCGAGTGGAATGATTGCAGCCCAGGTCGTTCAACCATCTGGGCGTGGGCATGCTTTGGAAAGAGGCCATTACAATCAACTACCATCCCATGCTCCGTTACCTGGGCCACCCCCCTTGCCGCTTTATCCATCTACTTCTAGTTCTAGTTCTTTGGTTTCTAATCCATTTGGATTTTCTGGAAATTGGAAAACTACACAATTAGTGGGCCCATTGCCACCTCCACCTTCTCTTCCGCCACCACTTTCTTTGCATATGTCAAATCGCACCTGCAAGAATGAAGGAAGCCACAGCTCGAAGGATTTATTAGATGGAAATAGTTTGATGTTGGAGCATCCGCCTCAAGCTGAGCCAGCTGCAGATAGACATGTACAACAAACTGGAGTTCTCTGTCAGAACACTGAAAACGTTGGACCTAAAGTGGAATCAATGGATATGGTTGTTTCTCATTCACCCTCTAGTTCTGATATGGAAATGGAAGGTTAGCCTACGTTCCTATCAGATGCTTTTACTCTCGTATCTCAGCTGACTTTCTTCTCTTTTTTATTTTTTTTATTTTTTTTAATATTGGCTTCTATATACTGGATTTGCTTGTTTAAATTGATCTTGTTCGTGACAGTTAGGACCGATGAGTGTAAGTTGTACAGTTCGCGTGTAATAAAATTATTATTGAGAAGCTTAGTTGGAGATGATTACGAGTTTGCATAGGTGTTTGCTGCTTTCAAATATGGAGATTTTATTACATGTTTTTAAATATTATAATTGAGAATTTTCCTTCCAGTATCACGCTGTGCTTACATTTGAGGTGTACTAGTAATGGGAGTGGTTAATGTTTGAATTTCTGTGGTGCTTGTAGATGATATCACTCATCCTGAGGAGGAGAAAAAGGATTTCCTGTCTATTTCCGATGGTGGATGCTCTTCAGTATCTCAAGAAGATGTTAATAAGAAAGTACAAATTTCGCAGCATACTGGAGAACATGACATTCCTGAAGATACTGTTGGTTTGAATTCGTTTGCCGAGTCCTCCGTATTGAAGGACCAAAGAAGAGGTACAAAAGTAATCATGCTATTTCTATGGCTTGATGTTGATTGAAATCTTTTGCTTTCAATGCTTGTGGTTCTTCATCCACAATCACGAATATTACACGACCTGCTCATTTGGCAACTGACACTATCAACAGCAGAATTTTATAACTAGTTGAGAACTTGTGGCACTTCCAATAGGCAGCAATATTATCCTTTTATGCTATTATAGGTTTGAATTTTATGTGCACTATGCACTGGATGAGTGTTATGATCTTCACACTATCTACTATGGTTATTCCAATTTTCATATTGATGTTGAGTTACATGGGAATTTTGAACCTTCTTTATTTCAGGCATAGACTACTATAGTTTTAATGTTAATATTTTAAATATTCAGCAGGCTCTGACGTGGTGTCACATTCTGTAGCTGATGAATCAGGCATGAAAAAATGTGGACAACCTGAACTGCTATTGGAGGCCAGTGTTGAAGAATCTTCTTCTCAGCATAAAAATTCTGGCCAGTCCTCTGTGCCAGTATTCTTTGGAGAAACTGGAAACAGGAAGCTTTCCAGTCAGCTGGTGGAAGGTACAAATTCTTTCAATCTCTTAAAGGGTTACGCATCTGACGAAAATCCAGAAAATGAGGGCAAAAATCATCTAGGAGATGTTAAATCTCCAGCTCATCAATGTGGACCCACAAATACTGATGCTAGTGAGCCTTGTAAGTTTGAATCAAAAGTTGGAGTCGAGAGCTTGTCAGAGCCCAATAAGCGTGCACCTCTCATATCTGTGATTGAACGGCCAAGTAACATTATAGAAGCTGCTAAATTATCTTGTCCAGCTGGGTTAGCTGGATCTTCTGATGAAAAATATGGTGGTAAAAAAACTGTTACAACTTCTGCAGCCCTCGAATCAAAAGAGCGTTTCAGAAGTTACAATGTTTCTATTAGTCCTGATGGGGCCAAAACTCGCAAACAAGGCCTGAAGAGCAATCATACTGGATCAGAAGTAGATGAGTTTGGAAGATTGGTAAAGGAAGGTGTCGGTGACAGTGACACAAGCGACTCACCTCGTTATTCACGGAGCCATGCAAGAAGAGCCAGAAGGAGGAGTAGCAGTAGAAGCAGAAGTCGGTCTCCTCATGACAGGAACAGGAGGAGTAGCAGTAGAAGCAGAAGTCGGTCTCCCCATGACAGGAGGAGAAGGAGGAGTAGCAGTAGAAGCAGAAGTCGGTCTCCCCATGACAGGAGGAGAAGGAGGAGTAGCAGTAGAAGCAGAAGTCGGTCTCCTCATGACAGGAGGAGAAGGAGGAGTAGCAGTAGAAGCAGAAGTCGGTCTCCTCATGATAGCAGGAGAAGGAGAAGTCCGTGGAGTAGAGGGAGGCGTGACCGATCTCGCAGGTTTGAGTGAATCACATGTGGTGCTATTCTATGTAATTCGATTCTCTTATAAATAGTTTAAGCTCAAACTGTAATAATTTTGAGATCCTCTGGTATTTTATTCCTCAGCTTGTCGTGGTCGCCAAGGAGACGAAGAAGTCGGAGCAGGACTCCTGTTTTGAGGCGTGATACTGAGCGCAGTGGAGATAAGTACAAACGAGAGAAGACCACCCAACTTCCGGAGAAGTGCTTTGATTTTCTTCGAGGAAGATGTTATCGTGGTGCCAGTTGTCGGTTTTCACACAGCGAGACGAACAAGAGTGAGAGGTCAAGAAACAACAGGGGCAAACACCTCCATGACAAAGAATCTAAGGTTCCTCAAGATATGCCTGGTCTGAGGAAAGACAGAGATGCAAAACAAATGCCTATTGAGTCGAGTACCCGTTCACCTGATAAATTGAACAATTTGCTTTCGGGTTCTCTCTCAGTTGGTGATGTTGTAGCAAGTAATCTTCCAGGATATTCCTCATATGACATTGCCTCAGGAATAGAATATTCAGCAAAACACCCTGATAAGGTGCCTCTAACTGTTGATCTACAAGGCAAGATACTTTGTGATTCCATCACCAAAATCTCAGAATCTTCTGCACTTGTGCAAGCATCATCAGCCCATAATCCTGCTGATAAACCTGATGCAAATAAGGGTCCCATTAATCAGCTGCTCTCCGTTGAGAGTCCCTTAATAAAAACGTTCTCGACTGAAGTCCAGGCTCAGTCTTTGAAAGAGTTGCCAACATCAATTCCTTCCCAATCTACTCTTCCTTTGCCTCCAGTCTCCCAGGCGACAAGTGCCCCATTTGGTCAAAATTACAACTTAATGCAAGCTACTGCACAGTTTCCTTCGACTCTGGGAAACCAGACTCCTTATCGAGCACCAGTAACTAACCAACATCGTCACTTTCCTAGGCCATCAAACTCTTTACCAAACCCCTTTATTCCTCCTCCTCCACGTCCACTCCCACCACATTATTTTTCTACCAATGCAACATATGGAGAAAACGGCAACCTTCTACAACATACCCAACAGCCTTTGCAGCAGCCATGGACCAGTCTGCCTTCTTATGCATCTACAATGGCCCAGACAACCGAGGTGCCTAATCAGACCCATTTTAATCAGTATCAGGCATACCCATTGCCTCTGGAGTCTAATCAAATGTTGCATGTCACTGAAAGTATTTCATCCAGTGGTTTGCATGTGAACAACTTATCGGGTCTGCCTGTCGGTCCTCCTGTAACAGGCGACCGTGTTACAGGATATCCAATGCAAGGTACAAATCCTTCACAATCATTTTCTGGGGCTCAACCTTATTCCTTAACGATGAATCAGCCATCGTATGCACATAACTTCATGGGTTCCGGAATCTCGAATCATTTCAATCCTTATGGATCTACTTCTGATCTGCCACTGGGCTCTAAACTTGAGTCGAATGCTTCCATCCAAGAAAATGGAACAACCATCACTACTAATTATGGTGCCCCGGTCGGTTCAAGCTCAGCCCCTGGGCGTACGAGTATTGTCTCTAAAGATATGGTTTCCACATCAAGCAAGCTGCCGGATGAAAGTGTTTTACCGAGGCCAGGTGGTGATCAATATGATCCATTGTTTGATAGCATCGAGCCAGTTTCGACAGCATTTTGTGGAGATGATCATAAGAAACACAAAGCGTCTGATGGTTTTGATAATATGCCAAAATTCGATGGATCTGAAAGGGTGCTAAACACCGAAATTATCAAGCAGGAAGTGGGGATAACTTTATCAGCAAATGATTTTATAGAAAATGAGGAATTTGGAGAGACAGCTGATGTTGAGGTAGGTGATGTCTTAAGTGGGAGCCTGAGTACTCCTAATGACGGGATCAACGAAAATACTGTTGCATTTGGGACTGATCAGGTTGAAACTTCTAAGAAAAAGATGAAGGGAAAGGATTCTATGAAGCTTTTTAAGAATTCTATCGCGAGTTTTGTGAAGGAAGTTTTAAAGCCATCATGGCGCCAGGGTAATATGAGCAAGGAAGCGTTTAAAACAATTGTCAAGAAAACTGTTGATAAAGTTTCTGGAGCTATGAAGGGTCACCGTATACCTAAATCCCAGGCAAATATAAATCACTATATTGATTCGTCACGTGGAAAATTAACTAAGCTCGTCATGGTACGCATGTCTTTTCTGCTTTTAAGGCTTGAGTTCACTGGGTTGTTGTTTGCTTGTGTGCAGTTAAAATAATGTCACTTAAAAACATTTTTTCTTATATTGTCAATACTTGCATTTTATTTGTGATATCTGTATGTACTATTATTTATGCTTTAACACGCCTACGTTGAAGTATCTGAGCTCCTTGGTATAGTGTATTCAGTATGATTTTTTGTCATGATCGACTTAATGATTCTTTCCAACTTTTCTCTTTGTATTCTCCTTGCAGGGATATGTCGACAAGTATGTGAAGGTGTAAGAGAAAAACGAGTGTCAGAGACTCCAACATTACAGCTTTTTGAACCTAAGGTTTACTATGGATATGCTTGTGATCATGCCTCCAGAAAGGAAGCTTTAGTGGCTCCAGATTTTGACAAATAGGTTATGAGTTGCTTTGGTGACTGAAGTTTACACCTCCCAGCAATGTGCCATGTAAAGCCAATCGACAATGTTTCTGATTGATGGTGTATGTGTCTAATTTAACAAAATTAATGAGAAAAGTTGCGGACCTTGTATGTAATGCACTTCTTCCTTAGAGTTAGGTTTTCTATGATTTTGTTTATACCTTTTATGTTTCATGTTCCTTGGTGGAGATAAATGTATTATTCAAGGAAAATTCTCATTTTGTAAATTTCCTACTTTGTCATATTCCATCTTCAATTTACTATTTGTTCGTTGTGGGATCGATGTCGATAGTTACAATATCCAACTGCTGTTTTAGATTTCGTTTCTTTTTTATTTTCAAATGTTGAGTCTTTAAATTTTTCAATGGCACAGAAGGTGAATTTTTGATAAAAGGTTTTTGGTGACTCAACCATTTTAATGTTATTTTATTATTCTTAACATATTTGCCTTTTCCATCCAAATATTGGGCTTATGACTAGGGAAGAAGAAACAGAGTGTACATACAACATTCTTTTTGTGACTGGTTTACAAAGCATGCAACTTATATTGTCATTCTCCACTCTACTGCAGGTAGTAACTTGCTCCTCCTCCTTTAGATTCAGCTACAGGAAGGAAATTTTGCGTCCTTTGTAAGGAAGTACAAAAATTCTCAGTGCTTACATGGGACCATAGCAATCCTTTTCAGTGGAAATTAGTGAGGTAATTTGGATGTATGTGTATTTCCTTCTCCAATTTGTCCCAATTGTATTCCCATCACAACATAATTCCTTGAGGATGTCCACTTCTCCAGGACTCTATTTTTGTTTGGACATGGAGAAGTAATATTTGAATGAGTCGGGCAGCTGAAGAACGTAGCTGGGGTTTGGTTTCTGTGAGGTACAGTTATGGCTGTCACTTTGTATTTGAATTTTGAACAAAGTTCTAACGAATCGCCTGTACTATATAACATGGATTCGTCTTGATTCTTGAATGTTCTCACACAGTTCCACATACTCTTGCGTGACTGCTTTTTTGTTAATACATAGCATATATGTGTCCTTTTATTTAAGTGAGCTTTTTTTCATTTGATAAATAGTTGAAGTTTCACTACACTTAATGGGGTCCTCTTCTAGTTATTGAAGCTTCATCACCTGCAGGACCCTCTTCTAAATGTTCTTGTTCTTGGTATGTCTTTTCATGTAACTCGGATATTGTGTGTTCCAGGCTTCTCTTCTTCAGCTAATTACTTTGGTATTTGAAACTTGACTTTTGCTATAGGCGGGCGGAGCAATAGGGGGAGCCTAAGATCCAAACCCATAATGAATGAGATGGACCCGAATCAAGTGTAACAGGTCTTGGGTTAAGTTCCTTTGGAAACCAGGTGCAGTTTTGGCTTATGGGTAGATGTCATTTTTCTCATAAGTGTAACAGGTCTTGGGTTAAGTTCCTTTGGAAACCAGGTGAGTTTTGGCTTTTGGGTAGATGTCATTTTTCTCATGTTTCTTTTTCGGCCAAACGTATTCCAAATTACGTAGTAGCAGCTTTTAATTGTCGACTAAATATGCTAATTTGTTGGTAGATTGAAGCAATTGCAGCGAAGAATTGGTTGGAAAAGAAGCCAAATAGCCAATCCTTTTCAAGCCTTGGAATTTCATACAACGTTCAGACACATACATCGCCTGCTGCTATATCTTTCAAGTTAGTTCAATTCACGTTTTCGGGCGCATTTAATTTCGGTACTCTACAAAAGCGAAAATTAGAACCATTTTGTTTGTTTGGTTACTCGTTGGTTTAGAGGGTTTTTTTTTTTTTTTTTTTTTT